AAGATTTATTATTCGATACGCGACTTGAAAGCTTTATTTATTTAGCGCAGAAAAAAATTTCAAACTTATTTATTCAATTTTGAAAAATTTATCTTTAATCAATAAGATAATATAAAATAATAAGATAATAAGATTCAGTTGGGTAAAGTAAGATAATGAGATATTTAAACATATAAGAATTTTTCTGGACCAAGGGACTCTTTGGCAAAATGTATATAAAAATTCGGAGTGATAATGTAAAACAATGTAAATGTGTAATATCGAATTATTTCGAGAAAACTAATGTATTAAAAAAATGCGAACGCAAAGATTACATTCTCCAGATTATAAACGTTAATAACATTGCGGTTCGAACGCTCGTGCGCGCTATCGCAAATGGCTCTCCATTACAAATATTATTCAGAGAGAGCCGATCTGACTGGCCCCTCATAATGAAACCACCAGAGGGAAATCCGTCCGGGTCTGGGTCTAAATGAATTCGCATGCGGTATCATTTCATCACTTTGTGGTTCCATATTTGATGTCTCTGTTATTCTAGCTTTGTATTCGCGCGCGAGCATACCAGATTTTCGAAAAGGTTGATAGAACAGTTTCAATAATTAAAATTGATTATCATGCAGAAGAGAAGCCCGGGTGTGTTTTTTTTTTTTTTTTTTTTTTTTTTTTACACACTGCGAATTTTATCTCGCGCTCGTTAACACACGACATTTCGCCCAAGCATTTGGTTTTATGATTAAATAGAATACAAATATTATTTATTAATATTTGATTAATGCAATAAATACAAGATATTTTTTTTTTTTTTTTTATTTTATATATTCTCGCGTTGTTTACATTTATTTTCAGTTATTTAAGCGTATCATCAAAATTATCGTCTGACTGATTCTTCGTATTCCTCGCGTGTTTTCATTATTGATGACGTGTATATGTACACGGATCATTTATTATTATAATAATTCTCTAGAGCCCCAACGTGAATTTTCCGAATTTGTCGATCGCAAAACAACGCAGATGGTGGTTTGTTTCCATGTCTGGTGAGTTTTTTATCAAATGATGACATTGTCGCTCCGCGATGTAACCGCGCGCTCTCTCAAATTTGCATACCGTCGACGTCCCCAGGCCATTAAACGTCCGCGTGTGAAGTTAGAGCGCGGTGCTGCTCTTCTTCACGACATCGTGCACGCGCGCGATGGTGTCCTCAGCCGCCACGTGTGAGCCGCCTCATCGTGTCCCCGGGCTGTGATCGCCTTAACATATGTGCGGGAATTTATACGTTTCGCGGCGTGTCGGTGGTCGTCGCGCGCGTTTGCCCGTTCACGCGCGCGTGCGTATCAGAACTGTATCTGGATAAGCGGCCTCCGATAGCCCCGGGTAATAACGCGAATATAATGGTGTCGTCGCGCGGACGACGTTGCGACTCGCATCACCTTCGTTCATCTTCTCCGCCTTTTCGCGTCTCCCTGTCTCTCTCTCTCTCTCTCTCTCTTTCCTTTCTAATTTGACGTTCGAGAGGTGACGACGTTGTATCTTCACGGTAGGAAAGCACGTTGGACGTGCGCGCGCGTGCCTGACTGCTATACAGACTGCTATCACTTATATAGAGCTCGCACACTTCCAACAAACAGCTTACTACAATATTATTATTTAAGCTCACGATGTAATTAGACGAACTGCAAGCTTAATGAACATTAACTTTCATCAATTTTTACGAACAAAATTTTGATAATTTTATTAATTTTTCTAAATACTGTTTTTAAATGTATATGAAAAAATTGTCTTATGATACATTTTTAATTTGTGGCGTGTAAGTCTTTTTAAATCAACATTTTTATAATGACGTTACATTATGACAAATATTTAAAGTTTTCGTTGATCTTTCGACAATATCTCGCGTTTACAACTCGGAATATCGTTCGTGCGCGACGAAAATTGTATTAACAAAAGAAATTAAATCGCGTCGATACACCGACAGTTGCATAATAGATATAGTAACACCGCTAATTGTGTATTCTCTGTCCTACCTATTTTTATCCGCGCGTACCTGTTTTTGCGCACACGCGGACGTGCGCATATGTAATAAAACTGTCCGCGTATGAGATACAATTTGGCTCGAGGCATCGCCGCGAACGCGAGATGTGGACGTTATTGCCGGATATCGTTACGTCTCCCGGCTTCCATATTCTTCTCTGATGTATACGCGATGCGAGAAATCTTGATCTATTCGAAACGCAAAAGTTGAAGCCTTTAATTTTGAACACCTTGCGAGATCGGCGGCGAAACAAGAGATTTGAACATCTCTTGCCGCACACAAATGTGAGTGGATTATTATTTTTACGTAAATATTGTCCCTTGCGAAACGTAAATACAACAATTTGTTCGCTGAATTAATTGCCGATTTTGCGCACGTAATTATACATAAAATTAATCGTCGAATAAGCTTCAGTATGTCGACTGTAATGTAACATTCGTATACTGGCCAATTGCCCCGAGGGCACTTGAACGGCCATGATGATGATCATCGCCATTGTTACAGCTATATCGTGTGTTCTTCGGATTCTTCTTTCTCTCACTCTCGGAGAGAGAGAGAGCTCCGCCGATTATTCCGGAGCATCGTATTAGCGAGCGCGTCAGATAACATGGATCAAGACTCGAATCGAAAAGCTTTTACTAAATAATAAAAATATATGCATAAATCTTTTAATATATATCTTTTTTTTTTCATTTACATATTATTAGCAAAATGATGAAAAAATTATAATAGCGTCGAGTAACTTTTCATTTACGTTCATTAATACATTTCGCATTTCGAGAACTGTGTTTTCAAACACGGGGAGAGGGGAGGGAGAATATGTGATTGAAGTGCCGTCAAAACCCATTAATATCACCGGCGGTGCCGTCAGCACGCCGAGCGTTTGTCCCGATGACACATGTTCCCGGGCGTGAACGCGTCATCAATCGATCTTTCGTCGTCGCGTCAAAGATCAACAATAATGCGAATTAATTATATATGCGAGCATACATCTTTTCCCTCTCTCTCTCTCTCTCTCTCCTTTTTCTCTCTATCTCTCGCTTTTTCTGTCTATACTCGTAAACGCATAGCTCCGCATAAATCTCGCGCGATTAGCCCGCGGCGTCTGCGCGCGGCCGTGATGGCCGTTGTTGCTCATCCGCCTCCGCCGCGAAGAGGCTCCACACTACTTCTTACTCTAACTCCTTAACCCGATGTCCGACTTGCGACGGATACTTGTGGCCGACGGTTCTTCGCCCGTTCCCCTCTGTACCTTCGGCGAAGAAGAAATGCATCGCGCGCGCATCGCCCGCTTGGCGACGACCTCTCGCAGAGAGCCGGACGAGAAAAGGCGCAAGTGTGTGCATCGTGTGCTGCATTTCGCGGCGTCTCCCGCGGCGATGCACTGCGCAACGACCGATGTGGGCGAGGGTGGTGTACACGTAGATATAGCGGGGAGAAGAAATCTCTCTCTTTCTCTCTCCGCATCGTCTTCCTGGCCGTCGCAAATTCTTTGCTGAACGGTGGAAAACAAGCATTAAACCGGCGGCCGAACACGTCGTCCCTTCTTATCCTTCTTGTGTTTCAACAACGACAACGGTCACGACGCACAACGGATAAGAAGGAGATCTTTCACGTAGACAAACATTGCGATTTTTTTTTTTTTTTTATTGTGTTTTTAAAAATAATAATCAGACATTTTCCTTGCTTTGTTTTTTCTTTCGCTCACACTTGCCGATCGTGTGCATAATATTTTTTTAAATCGTGCGAAACAACGTCGTTCCTCTCTATATCGATATAACGATGACGTGACGTCAACTGTAATCAGCTTGTTAATTTTGTAAAAATTTTTTTTTCATCCGTATTTCTGTCCGTGCTTTCTCGACAACTTCTTCTTCCGGGTAAAAAAAAAAAAAAATATATTAATCCGCTTGAACGCGCGTGTGTCGAAAAACCGCCGTGTACATTACGGAAGCCATATGAAAAGCAAGCTTCTGGACAATAGCTAACAATGAGCCCGGGCCTTTCACAGGCATGTAATAATGAAAATCCGAGAGAAACACCTCGCGCCGGACTATAAACCGCGCACTCTCCCTTCCTCTCCGTTTCCGCGCGTTTGCGAGCGCGCGTTTAAAAGAATATCCCTTGAACGGGATCGGGAACCGACCAACCGCTCGCCAAATATTGTTTCGCCGCTAATTGCCTTATTAATGCATACGAGAATTTCACGTTAATGTTCCAACCCTCTCGGTCGATTCGGTCATTGTCGATGTTTGTCGGCCAAAAACAATGCCTCATTAAACTAGTGTTATCGGCCGTGAGGATCGATATATACGTTAAATCGACACCTCTCTGGGCTGCGCGAATAAAACGCATAAGCAGTTAATACACACTACGAGGGTGTACAATTAGATTCAGTTTTAGCGCCAATAGCGCGTGATAATGCGCGATAATCGAAACAACATGATAATGAAAAGCAAGCTACTGCTGGCGTTTGCTAATTATGATTGCAGTTATCGGCGCACGTATACCGATTGTGCGAAAAACGGGTCACGGGAATGTCCCAGAGATGATCGATCCTCTTGTTTCCGCGACGCGACACAAATCCAAAAGAAATTCGAAATGTTTTAGATTGACAAAATATCTATCCAACGCGCGTGTGAAAACGATGTTTCAGTACATCTGTTTTTTTTTTAAGAGAGCAAAAGTATCTATAAATACTTTACGTGCTGACTGACAAATATTTGCGCTGCCGCGACTATATGTTGATGGTAGATCTATCCTTTGCGAGTTTCTTGCGAAAAGTGTATGGACGTACGTTTGCACGAACACGCGCATAGAAATTTTTTTTCTCAATTTTTCACGTGCACACAAAGTTATAAATTGCTATGTTTAGCTTCGTTTATTACTGTTGTTAGGTTTTTATAAATTTTTAGTTATTCCGTCTTTTGTACAATAATATTTACTTGGTTTGTTGTTTTTAATTCCACAGACGGAAATGTGAGGCTGATGGGAAGGAGGCAAAGGCGGAACTGACGGCGCAACGCAATATGTTCCCTAGCGCTCAAATTAAAATGAGGTAAATAAGTCGACATCTCTTAGCTTCTATACACGAAAGTTCATAAGTCAGTCTCGAACGAAACATCTCTATCGCATTTGAGAAAGATATTGATATACAGAGAAAATTATGTAAATATACTTAAAAATTACATAACAAATTTCTTTGCAAATATCAATTTGCTTTTTTTTGTAGAAGAAACTATCAATTTGCTTTTTGTGTCTAAATAATTATAATGTTTGCGATTTGTAGCTCATCTTCATGTTTTTTTTTTTTCACATAGTTATATATCAAAGAATAGGCATTTGTAAGAGAAAGAGAGAGAGAGAACACTTTAAATCAAATATCAAAACTGTTGTTTCTCAGATTGTTGTCGCCAAGCAGTTCGCCGGCTACCTCGCCCACGATGTCGAATTCTTCGTCGCCAACACCAACCACACCGGCGACTCCAGCTTACAACCAGAAAATGACTGGTATTCCTTGCGTAGCGGCAGCTTCGAGGTACACCGCACCGGTACACATTGATGTAGGTGGCACAATATACACATCCTCGCTCGAGACTCTAACAAAGTAAGAATGATTATGATTTTGTTACGCTTTAAAATAAATCACAAGCATATGTATCTAATATATTCTAGCTCAATCTCTTTTTGATAAGACGCATTGTGTACAAAAAGATAAGCTAAAACTTAATTCGTATAGCGAAGGAGAATTAATCGAACACAATTTCAAATAATTCAATTAAATTTTTATGTATTTTAAAAACATATTTGAGAAAAAAACGTAAATATATTCTCGCGAAAATATTATGCGATTGTAAATAGTAAAGGAAAAGTGTGCGTGTGTGTGTGTGTGTGGAACCAAAAAAGAAAAGATTTTGAGTAAAAGATTTATGTTGAAACCGCGAACGCGAGAATCTTTTGCGAGAGAGGTACATGTCTCTCCGCGCAGCTTCTCTCTGAAACAGCATGAAGAAATTCGAGCGAGCAAGAGAGTAGAAAGGGAGCGTGATGTTCGGATCGCGGAAACGTGACTATCGATAACGCTCCGGGATGCTCGGTGTGCCGGGCAATATCTCTGAGAACATATCGCTCGCAATCAGGCACACCGTTACCCCGTTTGCCCGGCAGTGTCCAAAGGCTATTTGCGATGTGCACTTTATGCATAAAAGAGACGTAACGTGAAAGCACAACTGCACTTTGCTTATGGAGAGTTTTAATCTCCTCGAAGTATCACCCCGCAGGTATACCTCCTCCTCGTCGAGATCCGACAAGAAAACTTCACGAGAGAGTATTATTCTTCGCGCAAACTTTTTTTTTTTTTTTTTATACAAAATAATCTCCGATATCTGTTTTGCGGGGATCGGAGTAATACAAATATATACAGTTAAATCCTTAATATAAAAACAAGATATTTTTCTGTTATAATTAACGCATTGTATATGGGTTGTGCAACGTGCGCGTTTCAACCTACGTGGTGCGAGTAATTTTTGGCAATTTCACACTTTGCGTCGATAAAGGAAAAACATATTTCAAAACAATTTCTCGAATAGCTACAATATATAAAAAATAAAACAAAAAACGTATTAACAACACGTGACCCGCATGCGCGATGTGTTTACAAATGAGTTACAAATTTTTGCGATATTTGGTAAAAATATATGTTTTTCTCTATAAAAATTATCGGATAAACAAATGACGTCACTGCTGAGTTTTTATTTTTCAACAGACTTCTTGAGTTTTTGAACAACGCGGTTTTTTTTGTTTTTTTTTAAATACTTATCGAACACACTAAACAAATTTCGAAATGTCATCGCGTGGTTTTCGTGATCTACGTTTCGCGAGTGACGTTTACGTTACGCGAGTAACGATGCAGCGTGTACTCTCAAGACGCGGGTGAATATTCAGCACGCTTAGCGCGGCAAAGAAAATTGTTCCTTTCACAAGGAGATCACGAATGCACACTCAGACTCGCTCGGCCTATATCTACATGTATATAATACGTGTACACGGCATCGGAGTAGACCACGATAGATGCATCCGTGAGAAAGCTGATCATAATTGACAGGTGGCCTTATCGTTTCCCGGTCGTCTCGTTAACTGAATAGGCAATGAGTTCTGACTCGCCACCAAGATGTTTCTATCTGAGCCGCTTGTAATGAATGAGCGAGAAAATCGTAATGGATACTCTTGTACTTACCGGCGTACCAAATTGACGAGCTTTCTCGTCGATTCGACAAAACTGAGAGAGAGAGAGAGAGAGAGAGAGAGAGTTAACATTGCGATTCGGAAAAAATAAGAAAATATTTTTGTTGCCGTAATCAGCGAACAACTTCGCGCTTATCAAATATTATTTATTTATTGCACACTTATTCTGTGTGATATTTCAAACTGGTTGGATCAACGAAACTGTAACTTGAGGCTGACATTAGCACGCGATAGGCAAATTTACGCGCGATGCACGTATTATCGTTAACCGAGTTAGTGGAGCGCGGTTTCCTACGAACTGTTAGGGCGCGCATCGCAAACGCACACACAGACCGGTGATTTAATCTGAATGATGAAAATATGTTGAATAAGCGCGCGTGTGTGTGTGTGTGTCGCGGAGCATCGCGCAGCCAAGTGCGCAAGAATGCAGAATAAATATTCTAATAAAATCTCAAGACTTGTCTAATCTCCCGTCATCTCCCGTCGTCACGCTCGATTGGATTTTCCTCCCTCATTACACGAGGTGACCTTATTGTCGCTTTGTCAAAAGCATTTGTGTGTCGCGGATGCGAGAAAACTTGCGGATTCACATAAGATCCGTTTGCGGTCGTCATCACGTTGTCGTCAAGACAAGAGCGTCAGTCGAAAATATCCACTTTGATAAATGATAAGTGGCTCAACAAATCAATAAAAGACGTAATTAATTATATCTTCTTCTTACAAAATGAAATAGCGGTACGGGGACACGTGATTTTAATAAAATGACACGCGCGCGTTCTGCCGTGTACAGACAGTAATAAAATATCGTCAGCGCGTCAGAGAAATAAATGAATCCGAATTGCCATTTGACAAAGTAGATTTTCAATTTTTATGTTGCGCAATGTGTGTCTCTTCGCGTTTGACGATCGTCGCGTCCCGGTCGCTGCTTTCCCACTTAGCAAGCATTTCATTATCTCTCGCGCAGCTGATCGAAACGCTGCGATCGGGATATTTTGTCCTCATGTTAAAACGTCATTAAAATCACGCCAGGAGAAATCGTATATTTCATCGTGCTCGACCGACTGATTTACAAGCGGCTAAATCATCGCTATCGCCTAACGACGTTGACGCAAGTTCGCGCGCTTAGAATGATCGTTTCTAGAACCGAGACTCGTGCCAAGTATTTATATCCCGACTCCGGTAACGACGCTCTGGAAGCATGTGTGGCAAGAGAGAATAACAATAATAACTATAGTAGAAAAACGATCGCTGGGGGAGAAACACGTCCCCGAGCGAAAGCAATAATGCACCCTGGCCGTTCGAGAAAATCCAATATATATAATTGAGTACGAGAAATGATTCCTACTTGCAAAGAGGTCGCAATATGTCTGATGTTCTTGTAAACGTAATGTACAAAGTTAAAACAATTTTACATAAAAATTGAAATATTTAAAAATATAAGTTGATGTAAAAATATATATAAAGTTCATCTTTTGTGTAAGATCCGATGATTTTTCGATTTTATCGAAACAGTTTCTATTTGAAAAAATTCGTCCCGGATTTTTTATACAGCCTTTTTGTATAATAAAGTATTAAAAGTTTTGTAGAATAAATTGTAGAAGTAGAAAATAAATTGTAGAATAAATTGTAGAATAAATTGTAGAAGTAACGCGTAGAAATGTAATAGCTTTTTGGCCTTTTGCGCTCTAGATTTTGTTTTTTCTATGTTGTTGTGTAACAAAAGTAAACTGAAATCGGAAACGGAAAATCTGGTCGCCTCACTTTTGCGTCATGTGTTCTTGTATACAACGATATAGCAACGTGGTTTTTCTTTTCGTGATAAACTATTCATTTTTTGGCGTAAAAATAAATTTCGACCAACAGGTAGTAATAAACTGGTCAAATAGAGAATGAAGCTGGTTAAGGTTACACGTATAGGCTCGTAGCGCGGGTACAAATGATTAAATATTCGCGAGTCGTTTGCATTAGTAACGCAACGAATAGAACATGTGCCGAATTACCTATTAGAGCGCACATTTAGGCGCCTTGTTTATGCCGTATGACGTTATAGATGAAGTAAACAGACCAATATAATGCGCGCGAATCATAAATTCATGCCTCTGATTAATTTAATTCAATCGTCGACGTATAATCGGCAATTTCAAAATAACACCGAACGTTTATTATCCCCGTAACACAACCGAGCGACCGACCATGCTGAGCATGATGTTAATTAGTAAATGTCTATTTATACGATAACTCCGCCAGTTGCGATTTATTACGTATATCGAAAACATAATACATCCTCACTTAACGCAATTTAGCTTTAACTTAATGAGGTTTTACTCCCAAAAAGACAAGATGAAGAAAATAGAAAATAAAAAAAAAAAACTATTGTATCATATATATATTCTGATATTCGATGCTTTCGCGGTGTATTATAAGAAACATTCTTGAAGATAGCTTTCGGTTTGAACCGATAGTGTCAGTTTCATATCGACGTTTTATGGTCATTTCATCAGGTTGCTCCTGAAACCCTGTTAGTATAATGAAGTGAACTAAAATATTACGCAAAACGATTTAAAAATGAACGTTGTTGAAACCCGAAAACCATCTTCAAGAATTTAATTATTATATATATTGTTATTATTACATACATTATTATATATATTGTTTGTCAATTTATTTAGATCTTAGTTTATTTGATATAATTTATTTATTTACGTTAATTTGTCTAACTATTTATGACATTACGATCTTTTTGATTTTAATAAACGCGATTAGATATTACATGTGATGATACATTCATACACATGATAATTATATATAATTCACACATAACGCGTTGCTAGTTGAGACACAATGAAACAATTTGCGATAAATATCTGAGCATATCATATCATAATCTGTTATTCTTAGTTCGCATTGTTATTAATAACATCAGAGGGCAGATTATTGTGAGATTCCTTACGCGTGGCTCGTGAAAGATTAATCGTTCTGTATCGACATTTTCCACCAAAGCGTTTACAGAAACGACGTAATGACCGATCATTAGTCCACGCTTCCGGTATCACATAATCCCTAAAACATCGTCGATCATCCTGCCTGGTCGAGGAGGCTGCGAGAACCCCGGAGGGTATCCCATGCTAAAGTACCGAGTCGTCATTTCCTCGCCCTCTAGTCCGACACATGCAATTTAGCGGGATCTAACGGAATGTCTTGGCGCGGACGTGTCTCGTTCTCGAGACGTACTCACACATAAGCGTGTGTACGTCGTATGCGTTGCGTCGGCCACACATGGGGGCATATGCTATCTTGTCCTAAAACTTTTCACTCTCGCGCAAGAAGACGCATCTGTAAATATGAAATCAACTATCGCATAAAATGCAACAAATATAATTAAAACAAAAAAAAAATTAAAATAAAATATAATTAAATAAAATTGATAATGAAATTTGCTATTAATCAAGTTAATTTTTTTACACAAAATATATTCAAAGTTTTTATTTAATATTTATCTTGTCGAAAAACAAGATAGATACTTTTTTGTCTTTTTTTAGTTTTACATACATGATTTGTGTTTAATAATAAATATTTATAATTCTCTTAAGTCAGTTTTGAATTTGCCGAAAAATTTCAAATATCTGTGTATATTCGTTTGCGTGTGCGTGTGTGTGTGTGAGTGTTGTGTGTGTGTGTGAATCTAGATATATTCTGCACACACATCGAAAGCAGAGCGAAATCTCAATGATGTGAGCCGATCATTTAGCGTTTTCCCATAGCGAACGAATCTGACCCGGGATCGGACCTCGGTCGGTCGGTGGGCCCAAGAAATCGCCGCGGGTAATCACGGTGCTCGTCCTCCGCCTCTGGTACCGTTTCCTCCCCCGCTATCACCCCTCTCTTCAGTCGCCTCTTCACTGCTACAAACATCGCTCTCTGGCCCTTATATAGCCTACGAGTTCGCGTCTCCTTCTCACGTCTCTTGACGGGCATCACTTTCGCACTTTCTCTCTCATTTACCACTTAACGAGGTACGCGAGTTCTCTTCTTTCGTTCTTCTTCCTCCGTTTCCATTTTTTATACATCTCATTTTTATACACGTGTATTTTGATTTTTTTTTAATACAATCTATTATAAAACAAAATTGGAAAAAAATTATAACTCGAAATTAAACTCAATTTAGATTTTTATAATTAATTACGAACGACTGTATTTCTAATTCGTAAAAGTATTTTGAGACATTTATTGATTACTTAATGTTTCAATGGAGATACAACAGAATTCAGAAGTTGTGTTATGAATTTTAAAAAATTATTCAAGAAAAGGGAATTTGATGCTCATTTAAATAGAAAGTACATCATTTTTTTTGCGTTTTCACTGACCGAAATTACAGCGTGAATTTTAACGTACCCGCGGCAATTGTAACGAAGAACGGGTTTGCTTGTCAGAGAAGAGTTGAGTTTCCTTCGTACAATAACTCGGCTTGATATTTTATGGAAAATTAACTATATCGTATAAAATTTTGCGCGTGTATACGCTTTGAGGTAAAGTCCCGCGATTTTCATTTCCCTATCCTGACAGCGCGCACCGCGATTCTCCGTCTATCCTTTTAGACCAAGGTATCTTGGTGAGAAGTCGATAAACAGGAGAAGGGAGAGAAAGAGAAAGAGACAGAGAGAGAGAGAGAGAGAAGGAAAGAAAGAGAGCGAGATCAGTGAGAAAGAGAAAGAGATCGACGAAGGATGAAAAAGAGGAAGGAAGAGGAAGGGGGAGGGAGAGAGAGAGAGAGAGAGAGATAGCCTCTCTGTATCTGTATATATGTATACACCTTCGTATCTACCCCGCGGTGACTTCTCTTCTCTCTTCCTCGCTAAAGTCAGATCGCCCACAGGCTCCATGAGGCCGTCGTTATTATATGTTATCGCCGCATGGAAGGTATGGGAACCGGCCCGAGGGGGCACCGGGTACCTACCTCGGTATTTCCCCCTCGTTGTGCCATAACGCACCGGCGAGATACACGGGAGAGAAGAACTGACTCTTCCCCACTTCGCGTCTCACCGTGGTCCTCGAGAGTCACCCGTTGCACCTTCCGTCCTTTTTCCGCGACCGCGCTTTCTCTTCCCCGCGTTCTCTCTGTTCCTTCATCCCGTTCTTTTCCCAGAGCATTCGTCTATTATATGCTAAATTACGACGACCTTCGGTTGCGCACGCAGACCGCAGCACCGCTCTCGGTACCGTCCAAGAGTCACGTACGAACAAACACGCGCGTGAAGCTGGTTAATACCGAATGTAAATTTCTACAAAATCTAAACGTTATCAATTCTCAACTCGGAAATGGCAAGATTGAGAAAAAAATGTTTTTAAACAATTAAGACTTAAGGCTCGTCGAAATTGTTAACAAGAAATATATAAAGCCTTACGAGCCATTCGCAGGATGTGTTTGTGCGGAAACTGTGCGTGTATATATGGACACGGAAAAAAAAATAGTTTCTACTACATCTAATTACGGTTTGCTGAAACTGAATTTGTTGCTGTAGCTATAAAATTTCCTATTACATAGAAACAGTTTGCTGATATTCCTAAATATGTCGACATAATAGCAAAATATGTATGTCTTGTAACACTAAGAGCTTAGGTGTCCATAATACTACCAAAATTTAGGAACCAAACCTAATTTTTAGCTGTGAGAGCTAACTTTTTGTTTCCGTGTATATATACACATGTAACAAATTCTACTTGTAAATTTTTACAATTCAAAAAACACTCACTTGTAAAAATTTACAAGTAAAATGTTTTTAATTCAATATTAAAAGATGATCTCACATAATATACGCGTTATATAAAACATATCTATTAACATTTGAATGTGTGTGTGTGTGTATAAATTGAAAACATAGTAAGAAATCATTACAAATTCTTTTTCACGGTTGTTAATGCACGTTTTTATGACGGGTCGTACATGGTAACATGCGTTTTTACAGCACATTAGATAACAAAGGTATATACTCTCCTGAAAGAAAGCATTCGTCTACATTTACACTCTTTTGTCCTATTTTAATTATAATTTTTTCAACTTCTCTCTCTCTCTCTCTCTCTCTCTCTCTCTCTCTCTCTCTCTCTCTCTCTCTCTCTCTCTCTTTTTCTCGTATTTTAAGTTATAATGAGATTTGTAATGTCACACATTACTCTCATCAACCGCGACATGTGATACTGTGAAGTACGGAAGACATTTTAACGGTAACTTAGCGCGGATATATGTAATAGGGAGATTAGTTGCAACCTACTTCGAACGATGTTGTTTTTGCGAGCAACCCGTGAAACGTGTTTGAAAATGTCACGGACACTTTCTAAAAAAATCAAAAAAAGTGATATACGTACGATATACGTGGATTTTTTTTTTTTTTTTTTTTGTTACCACACACAGCGTATCAGCGATAAAATTAATTTTATATGCGCACGTGTGCGTTTTTGTTGTAATTTTGCGCAAAAAAACAAACCGAGAGTTCGTGAATTTGTTCTTATTTACGTAAATATTTTCTGACGTAATTTCGTTCTCTTTTTCTATTTCAATATTTTTTGCGTTTTGTTTTTTAACATGTTTAATTTTAATTTACAGTTATTTACTTGAATTTAATTAAACTCGAGCAAATAGCGCGATGAGTCAGGAATTTAAGTAAGAGAACAGCTGCTTTGTACCGAATCATCATTCGCTAAAACTACACGCGGCTACCTGAAGCGATTTTAGGCAGGTGATACCAAAAGTATCGGCACCTGCTCAACACTTAATTAACTGTTGGTCGACAGAAAGTACATAAATTTTTACATTGTTACGTTAATCATGCGACATTAAATTCCCACGAGATCGGCATAACAAACTCTTAATTTTGAATATCAACAATTTCATCTTTATAACGTTAATTATATAATTACATACTGATCACACACATGCAAGAACTTCAGAGTAAAGTGATATCCGATAAATACCCGAACGTTTTTTTTTTATATGCGTTGTGAATTAATATTTATAAATTGTATATAAAGATTTGCGATTTTTATCACTTGTGATAATTTTATAAAATATGTTGTGCTATTTTTTTTTTTTTTATCAGGTATCCAGAATCCAGGTTAGCAAAATTATTTAACGGCAGCATCCCGATCGTTTTGGATTCGTTAAAACAACATTACTTCATAGACAGAGACGGCGGTATGTTCCGACACATATTAAATTTTATGCGAAATTCTCGGCTGCTGATACCGGACAACTTCGCCGATCTAGATTTGCTGCTGGAGGAAGCGCGATACTTCGATATAGCACGTAAGTCACACTTTGAAAGTTTCCTTTTATTTTGTAATTTCGAATTTCCGTAGAATAAAAAAACACATTAAAAAAAAATTTTTTAACTTGGACTTTGATATCTGTAATTTGTCATGAAAAAGTACATTATAATTTCGATTCACATATGTATCGCGTGTGTAATGTAGAATAATCTTTTGACTCTCTCTCTCTCGTCTGTCGTGAAATATTAAGCGGCGGTTTCTGCGGTTAATCAAGAGGTCGATACCCATATATATACATACTCAGAGAGAGAGAGAGAAAGAGAGAGAGAGAGAGATATTTAATAAATCGCGATATCACGTTATAACGATATATCTATTATTTCTCTTTTAATTTTCCTGACCGACTTTTCAGTTGCTTACGCGCAATGCTATAATGAAATAGAAGTAACGAGTTCTGAAAAGTAGTTGTTTACACTGAAATACACTGAAATACACTGAAAAATAACGTATCTAATAACTTTGAACATAAAAAAAATATAAAATTATATATAGACAACATAAAATTCCTCTCTCTCTCTCTCTCTCTCTCTCTCTCTCTCTCTTTCTCTCTGAGCTTCCTTCTAAGAGTAATTTAATCTTTCTTTTTCAGCGATGTGCAAGCAACTTGAGCAGATGAAAAAGGAACGCATAAAGAACGGCTCGACGACGACGATAACCGCGTCCTCACCGAGCCCGCCGCCTTCCGGTCAGCTCGGCGGTCGCGGAACCGCGTGTACCACCGCGCCCTGCAACCGCGACTCCGAAAAAATGCGCGGCAACGACAGCAACTGCACGTACGAATGCGTGGCGTTACACGTGAGTCCGGATCTGGGCGAGCGAGTAATGCTGTCGGGTGGGCGGGCGTTGTTGGACGAGGTGTTCCCGGAGACGACGCAAGCGGTGATCGACGCACGCTCCGGCGTCGCCTGGCACCAACAGGACGCCCGTCACGTGATCCGATTTCCGTTGAACGGCTACTGCAAACTGAACTCGGTTCAAGCGATCACCCGGCTGCTGAACGCCGGTTTCCGGGTGGTCGCGAGCAACGGCGGCGGCGTTGAGGGCCAGCAGTTCTCGGAGTACCTGTTCGTCAGACAGGCCGTCAACACCTGACGTAGCACGGCGCATCATCAGCGCAAATCGATCTCGCGATCGATTCGCTGCGTGCAGCGCGACTACGATCCGGAGTGATCGCGAATATCAGGAAAAAAAATCTCCCTCTTAAGACTGCATCGCGGAATAATATAACACTACGCACTGACGAGAACGGACGGAGCATTTTGATATCAAGAACAGAGAGAAGACAACCGTATCCGTGACCTGATACCAAAATATAATGTAACGGATACGATATGTCATTCGCAAACAAATTGTATCGCATTTTTTGACGCTTTATCTATAATACGTTAAACACACATCTCGATAAAGCGAGATAACTCTGAAAAACTTTTCAAGTGTGTGAATCAAGTTTTACAATCTACGGATTATTTTAAGAAACTAGCTGCTTGAAATGGCAATAATTTTGTGTTTTCGTTCGTAAATTGCAGCTAAAATTGTTTACGTGATGACTTTCTGATGTCATTATCCGAAACGACTGACGAAGCGCGGAGAATATTCCGTCGGCAAAGTGCATGTTATTGATACAGCGTCGCAAAATTATTTAATTTATATACTTATTTACATATAAAAACCTTTTACTTATTTATACAAAATTCAAAAACAGATAAATTTATATCATATTATTATTAATAAAATATAAAGTGAATTAGAGGATCGATGATATTGGCAATTTTGAGATATCAATAGCATTTCGCTTGACATATAAATTGTGCAGTTTTTACGGATAAAAAATAAACCGTTCAAGTATAGCGCATAGTTGTGACGCAGCTGGAAAAAAAATTGATTAAACAATTGTACTACTATTTAATGCTACTTAAAAACGGAACACACGCAATTTTCAACAAAACACCGTTGTCCTTCGTGTTACGACCACGTACGTTTGAAAAATATCAGATCATGCGTCGGTTTTAAACATTGTTATTATTTAAAGTGTATCTATATGTATTTAAATGCCATACTAATTAATGTAAATATCACGAACATAAACGTGTATATATGCATACACATATATAGACATATAAAAAAATATATATATAAATATAAATATATATATATACTACTTAAAAATCACACTACGCGTAATATAAATGAGTCGGCAACGAAACAATACACGTTGATTGCCTCGAGAGAAAGTTTATTTAATGAAATTTTCATTAAAATGATCTAGTATAATCCATTGTATGTATGTGTGAAAATGAAAACCAAGAGTAAAAAACGGAAATTTTATTAGCTCACTCTCGGAAAAAAATAAAAAAGCATCGACAAAATTGCGCTCTTTAACGAACATTCTAAGCATTAAGAATCGATAAGCAAACTGTAACTACTAAGAAATCTTATAAAGTATTATTCCTGATTATAAATAACTTGATTTAATAAAATGTTTATTTTACATTTCAGAAAAGCGCAAGCAAGTTTCTTTCTCCCACCTTGTGGTTCTTTAATCTTCTTTGACATTTGAACACATGTGTGTACGATTGTTACGTTACCACATTTTCTCTTTTCCGTACAATAATCGCGCGCGATTATACTTCGTTCACATGATCAGATCGTTATTTCTCCCGAGGGACAGAATACGCGACAATATATCGTTTACGGCAACGCGATCTGCAGAGTGTTCTGCAGAAAAAAATAGACGATAACTTTGCGTTATTTGAGAAACGGGTAAAAGCATAGAATTGTGAAATTATTGTTATTCGCAATCAATTCTCGATTCCCGTGAACATTGCGTTGCGCCTGAAGCCAAAAGAGTTTAGTTTTTTTGCTCTAAATAAAATGAAAAATATAATAAAATTAGTAACAAAAAAACAAAATGACCGACGTAACGTGATGATTTGAGAAATAGTTGCTGTATATAAGAAATATTTCCACTCTCTTTGATTTTTTATCTCACAATCGAACTATTTTTTGTTGAAACAAAGACTTCTTGTTAATTTTGTGAAACAGAAAAAATAAAACGCACCTTTGTGAGTGTTACAAATATACGTATATATATCCCCGCAGAGAAATTACGTAGCACAACTAAAAGAGAAGCGTTTCTCGATCTGTTCGAGATATCGATGTCTAATGCAAGGGACAAAATGCGCAATGCGCGCACGCGAGAAGCGAAGTAAGAGAGCTCATTGGGACCACGTTGATCACGTAACCGCGGGAATAAGGGATAAAGCGTACAAACGTCGTGCCCCCGGGCCCCGTTCCCATGGTTACCATGAACTCAATATCCGCGTCGCCCGAGGGTTTCACCAGCTCGGGGCTGTCATCCCTCGAATCCACCCAGCACAAAATGCTCTTCTCTCTCTTGCCCACTCGCACCCTTGTCCCTCTTTCTCTTCTGTTCTCTCTGCACGTTTTCTCCCTCTCTCCCATCTCTAACCTTCCTCTCATTCTCTCTCTCTCTTTCTTTTTTTCTTTCTTTCTCTTTCTCTTACTCCTCGTTTCTCTCTCCTCACTCCACTCAACTGATTATATTCCATTTCTGTACCGTCCTGGCCACCTTGATGCCGGGTCCTTCGATACGCGACACGAGGCGGAATAGCCGTCGGCTAGACGGAAGACAGGCTTAAAATTCGAGGATATCCTCAGACAAAATCCCGGCCGTCATTGTCCGTCTAGAAAATCGAGGCCGAGGCCGATGTTTTACAATACCTTGCATTCTATTCTGCTGCGCACTATCCCGTCTTCATATCATCTTCAAAAAAAAAAAAAAAAAAAAAAAACGCGAGAACACAGCTCGACATCGTTAGAAAAAGCTTTTCTATACGTATTTTGTTTCGATTGATATTCTGTGAATTCTTGTTTTAAATGTGAGATTTTATATGTGTATACGCTAAAGAGAATGAACATTTCTCGCTTTTTCATTCTCGAATCTTCCTATAATTCTTTTTATTTTTGAAATTAAGAACGTGACGAAATCATTCTCTCTCGTTTCTTTGCGGATTTATAATACAAATTCAAGTAAAAATTTTTGTGTATTGTCATCTATAATCCATGATGATATTAAAAAAATTTTTTGTTCTTCCGAGATAACGTAAAAAAGTTTTACATTTATATAAAAAATAATCCCAAAAATAAATTACAAATTGCCCGATTGATTACAATAAACAAGTTTGAAACAAAAATTTCTGTTAATTTTTACGAATATATAACACACACGCAAGAAATATACAGCATAATTTTATACAGCATGTGTATATTTTTCTTATCATCAAAGTATTGAAGAGTATTATTTTATTTCAGACATCTTGTGTTGTATTGTGAAAAATTTACACAATAATAATAACTACGTGTGTGTACATGTGTACAATAGTTTCCACATTAAGAAAAATGAAATTTACTCTGTTAAAAAAAGTCTGTAAAAATTTATCTCCACTACAGTAAAAAAAAAAAAAGGTAAAAAATAAAATAATAAATCTGACAGATTTGCGATTGATCCTTTATTTTGACGCAGTCATGGCGAGAGATATCGCTTTGTCGCGCTCGTTCTTATAAATTGTTTCTCATTTACTTTCCCGTGTAATTAATATATAATGCATGTCCAAACAAGCATATCTGCTACTACCTCGTTAATCGATGTTTTCCAAGCTCGAAAGTTTTTGTTTAACAGAGTATTATTGTACACACATATGTATACACTGGTCGCTAATTTTTTAATAAAAAATATAAAAACTATTAGAAGTAAACTATATAAATAAATAACACACTGACTGTATATACAGTAGGATTACAACTAAAAAATTCTTAATTTTAAAATTGTTAGAATCGGTTTTTTTTTTTTCATTTTTATTTTTTTTTTTTCACACTCTTTAGAAAATATCTTTTATATTTAATTACTTCTATGACAAAAAATATGTAAACAAGATAGTTTCGTCTTCAAAGTTTTGCAAATAAAAGTTAAAGATAAAAAATCAAATTAAAATTTGAAGAAATATAGTTTTCTGATGAGAGTTAAAATTGTATTTTTTTTTTTTTTTTTTTTTTATTATCTCACGCTTACTGCTTATTAGTTATCTAATACAATTTATAAAAATATTATAATGTACCAAAATTGCGTGTGATGTACTGTTATTTTTTATATTCTATTTATATAGAGATATATTAATATTGAACCTACTGGCAGTAAAGAGAACGCGTTATGATTTTTATGATTTTTACGTTTTTGTCTCGAAGTTCGTAAAAAACGGTCTGATATAGGCAGAGGAACATACAGCTAAGTGAAAACTTCTTATGCGTGATGTGCTCGGCGAAGATTGGTACACAATTACGACTCGAAGACGCTTTTTAAATAAAATTATTGTTAAAAATTACTTATTTACACAAGAGATATACATCTGTCGTTATTTCTGTCATAATCATTTATATAGTCAGATGAATATCACACTTTTCGAGTTTCTCATGAAAAATTACCGAATTAATCAGTAACAAAAATAATAAATATGAAATATTCGACTTATACGTGTATATACTGTATAAATTACGTTGCCTCTAATCCGTTTCCGCTTCAAACTGTTACTTGAAATTTTTTTGACAACGCGGTACCAGGTTTCCAATTATATAAACTTTATACAGATCGTATATACATCATGCAATAATACGCTAATATTATGCGATACATTATGTATCTGTAAACATATCTATTTTTCTTTCACACCATATTTGTTCAGTCTTCAATACATATATAAACCCAATCTCGTAAAACCAATTGAAGCAGTTATGTACCGTGTAACAATAACGAACAGTCCATTTTTCATTCTCTCTGATTATTAACACCCGAAAAGGCTAATAAGCTACTCATGTATGTCGGAATATATTGTGATAGAAATAACGCGTAATAACTTTACTTTTATCGTGCTTCTTCTAAAGCCAAGTTGGAAGCACAGAAATCGTTTGGAATAACAAGTATTGATGTTGATATAAATTACTCAGCGTAGAACACTAACATGTGTGGAAATATTTTCATAATGAAATGAACTATGTGCAAATTTATATATAAATATATGTACATATATATATATATATATATACACACACACACAGAACATGATAACAAAACAAGATAATACAATCGGGAGATATTTTTGTACAAATTAAATAAAAAATATAGAATATAGAAATATAGAAAGTTGTTTTTTAGCAAATCAAAACATTTGATTTTCTTGAAAACTAAAGACTTGCACGAAAAACTTATATTCTACATTTTCGATTCTTTTTGCACCAAAAACACTCGTTTTCCAGTTGTATCGTCTGTCCTGTTGTATCTGTATGTGTGTATATATATACATAAGTATTTAATTATTAATTTTATATATGTACATAATTATAACATTGTTAATTTATAGTGGAAATTTTAAAAATTGGCAATATTGGAAAGTACAGAAATTTCACATCATAAAAGTAATATACTTTGTTATTAAAAATTGTTAAGCATATAAACTCCTTTTTTAGTGAGAAAATCGATGTATTGATCATTAAGTATAAAACACTTTTGACACAAATATATAGATATACAAATATACATATATTGTATGTACATACGTCAATATTTTATATACATGTGTCAAGTTTCATATTTAATGATCCAATAATAGTTTTTAATATAAAACTTGCTCTCTTATTTAATATTTAATATCTGACAACATGAAATATTTTATCAAGTATTATATATTGATTGAAACATAAAGTCATATATTTCAGAGCAAAAGTACGGCTGTGTATGAAGATAATGCGAAAGTTATATAAAACGTAATTGACTTAAAAGAAAAAAATTATTAAAATTGTGCTAATTTATATTGCACAAATAATGTCACGTTATACTGTAAATATTTTAATGTGTGTATATATATGTGTGTTCATACGCTACAAAAATTAATAATAGAGATATATACACATATATATATATACATATATATACATATGTAAGTCGTATATATAATTGTTTTTTTGACTGCATGAAAAAAACATAGTGGAGATACAAAATATTGATATGAAAGAATGAAAATCGGGGTTTTCAAGCATGGTTCTCTACGATGTCAGGCACCCACGTACACTTGTGTATTAGCTACTTCCTTTAACATATAAATCAGGTACTCGCTTTGTTTCAATTGATTATGCAAAGCATATCTTTCTTTTCTTTTTTTTTTTTTTTGCATCTTTATCATCGTAAGCAGAATCTGCATCAATTCCACAAAAAAGAAACATAAATACTTAAATTAACATTGATCGAAAAAGAATATCGGTTATATTCTTACTTTTGTAAATATTTCTTTAATAAAAAACGTAACAGCTAATTTTTTTTATAAACACTGAAAATGTAGATTACAACATAATATACTGATAACAATTCCATCTTTCGGTGGAGATTGGCTAAATTCTGTTGTACCAACATCGAAATTATCGCTAGTAGTTATGTGTAAAGATATAGTACAAATTATTCCATACTTTTTGGACAGTGTGCTCGTGGTATTATATCGTATTACATTACAGTTTGCAAAAATATGATTTATACTATCATAACAAAACTCACTTTACACTAGCGCTACAGTGTCCAAAAGTATAGGTCAAATATTACAATGCAGCGATCATATAGTGGCAATATACACTCGCTCCGTTTAATGCATTCACGCGTTTTATTACATAACAATTTTTTCTATATGGCCATACACAACGTTCCCTCCCGCAAAAGGACCTTGTGTAGACTAATCACGAGACGTATGTGCTTCATACACATTCCTCCTTGATACGATCTTGTGTTGAAAAATAAAGAACAATCTATTATATTACAGTTAAAAAACGTATATTACAGTTAAAAAATGTTCAGTCATTTACAATAGGGAAGTAGAGTATCGACATGGTGGAAACAATTTTTTAGTTTGAATGTATGCGGAATTCCAAGCCGACTCTCAACGAGGAGGTTACTTTGCGATACGCAACTTTCGCAATGAAATACACTGTACATTGCAACGTAGAGAAACGTTTCACGATCCATCGAGGCCAGCTCATACAAGACCATGCAGATGATGATACAGCGCCAGATTTCGGGCGGATCACTTAAGTTCCTGCCCTTCATAATACATCACTTCAAGTAGGATTTATACAGCGTTGTACTTCTACACGTGTCTTTCTCCTGTTCAAACAAAAACAATAAATCCCTATAATTCACTCTCTTTACACGTGGTCTCATCGGCATTTGTCTGTTTAATCCGCTTGTCGACGCGTTTGCACCAGACGTGCTTCCCGAGCTAGTCGATCCCGCTGTGTCGAGTTTAGGCTTTTTGCGAGGACCGATTGCTTGCAAAGCTGTTAGATTCGCTTCCCTTTGTCTTAATTCTTCCATCTCTGCACGTTGCATCTGAAACATTTGTTTTTTATTTAAACAAAACCGCATCTGTATAGTAAAACGTTGAAATTTCTCAATAAAAAGCATTGTAGAAAATAAAAGCATTATAGAAAATTAAAAATAAAACCATTTATATCTTACCTCTTTGGCCTTAGCCTTTAATTTGGCTTGTTCAGGATCTTCTGTTTTCGCACGACTTTTTGCTGCGCGTAAAAGCAATTCTCGTTCTTGCTCTTCGTGCCGTTTACGTTCGACTCTATCTAGATCTTCTAGAAACTTTAATTGTGCTTTTACATCTTGTGTTACTTCGTATCTAGGATCAACCTATAAATTATCACGCAAAATTATATATAATTTTTATTAAAGTAATATAATTTTCAATAGTATAATTTTTACTAAACACTCATATGTAACAAATAGTTGTAAAGAAAACAATATTTATTATAATAATAATACAATTTGGTTAGCAATAATTTACATATTTATAAATAAGATATAAAAAAATAAAGCAGAGAGAGAGAGAGGATAGTAAAATGAATAAATTATTTCTTTTGAATCTTACTTTGATAAAATCTATCCTATGTTCTGCAATGACCGCTAATTTTTCTACTAAATTCTTTAACCTCTCTTGAACAGCATGTGAAATTAAAGCTGAAACTTCTTGATTGGGTTCCTCCAGTCCATGGCTAGATGCTAAAACAATACATTACTTGTGTAAACTTCAATCTCGTGATATGATTTTCATACATATATTTGATATTTATAACTTAAGAACTAAATCTACCACTTACCAATTTGTTTAATTTTCTGTTGTAATGATGTCATATGCAAAAATACTTCGTCTTTACAGGATCGTATTTGAGTACCGACAAATTCGGTGGAACCAAGAATTCTTTGAGATTCTTCTGCAAGATTAACACCACCCATAGCTGCTACATCGTTTATGTCATCGTCCGCACTGTATAATAAATTCAATATTTTTTATTATTTACAAAAACAATTATTCTCTTGAATCATTGTTCTTTTATTGCCATTTGTTTTTAATTATACTTTATTTCTAGAACAAAAAACTCACGTATATCCTGCTGACGAAAATGTCTTTTTCTCTTTCTCCTTTGGAGTCGGTTTCTGGACAAGAGAAGGCACTGCGGCTTTATTAACAGTAGTGGTTGTACTAACTGTTTTGCCTTGTGTAATAGTCGTAACTGTTTTAACAACTGTTGTTGCAACTGTGGGTGCTTTTTGAACAACAGGAGCAGTGGGACGAATTCCAGTCAATGCAACGGGAGACGTTTTCACAGCATACGTTGTAGAAGGGCTACGAACCACGGTCGTAATGGGTCGAACCTAAAACCAATTATAAAAATATTTTCTACTTAAAATATTCTCTCAAAATAAAAAACTATAAAAAATGACAAAAACATTACAACAAAAGAATCTTACCAGTCTCTGTTGAACAGGTTGAGCAGGCCGTGGAACGGTTGTTGTAACAACAGTCACTGCCGCCGTCACTGCTGTAGCCACTGTCGGAAGTGGTGTCATCACTCTCACTTGAGTTGTTGCTGTTGTTACAGTCACAGGAACTGTTGCTGTTACCGCAACTGCAGGTCTGTATTGAATTTGCTGTAATAAATAATAAGATTATGCATAAGATTATGACTAAGAAAAATAACTCTTGCAATAATTTTGTTGGGTTTAGAGACATGTGTAAAATATTTTGTTTTTATACCTAAATTGTTATGTCTTTACAAAACTAACATTCTCAAAACTTTATACTTCACATAAATTATATAAATTTTTACAAGATTGATTGTCACATTTCATGTATAAAACATAACATTCGTATAACAGTTAATTTTTACCTGTGTAGCAGTTGGGACAACTGCCGAAGCTATGGAGAAAACAACATTGGCTGGAGGAGGCTTTATTCCATCTATAACTAATTCCTTCGTAACAAGAGCTTGCCGTAAAAGTGGCAAACTCTTCTTCAAAAATCCGATAAGACATGGTTGTGGTGAAGCGTTTAATAATTTTTCGAGCCTGTCACAAAACTCTTCCGGATCGACCTTAGTATCAATCAGCTCTTGTATCAAAGTCCGAACATTGCGTTCCACTGCTTTAGGTTCTCGACTAGATAAATCTAATAAATTCGCTAAGAATTTACGGCACTTTTCTTTGGTATTATCAGTAGTTTGACGCTAAGAGAGAAAAAAGAAAATTATACATTATTTAAAACATATTCTAACACTTATTATTTTAATAAATATATTCATATAAAACATACTGGTGCAGGTGTTTGAACCGTTTGAGCAGTAGTAGCTGTTGACGTAGTGCTAGTTGTTGGTGTTGTAGTCGCTGTTCCTACAGTCGTAGTAGGTGTAGTGATTGTAGGAGCAACGGTAACAGTCTGCAGGAATAGATATAAATAACACAATTATTGTAATGAAAAATTTTCTTATTTTTCATCCTATGTGTGTGCATGATCATTTAAATATATATTACTATAATTTTGTTTCATTGCTGTGTCAAAATATAAAACCTACATATATCCACAGATTATAAAAACAACTACCATGTTTAAAAATCAAAAACCTCTTTGCATGCAAAATCAATTATAATAAAATATAATTAGCTCCAATAAGTAATTTTAATATTGAAAATATATTACACTTATTATGTAAAAAATAAATTGTTTAGTATATTTTTATAACAAATGCAAATATTTGTGTAACACACATCCGCATGTATTGTAACATTTTTCTCTTCTTGTTGTAACATTATAATTATAAAATAACATCAAATCAAACCTATTCTCACATGTAAATTGCATGTGAAACACATGTATATATATTTTATTACATATTTATATACTAAATTCTGTATGTATCAAGATAAAGTACAACTCGATAAAAAGAGACATCTGGAAATTTCAATATAAATCGAACAAAATAACAATAATTTCCAATAATTTGTTTCTCGCATGCACACACAACTAAAAATGTTTTAAATTCTATATTACTACATTCCCAATAAAGTACACATAGCATCTATTTATTCTACATGCATGCATGAGATTCAAAAGTAAATAAAAAGTTTACCTTACTAATTACTGCAAATAACTTAAAAGAATTGTAATAATCTTTATCATAATCCTTTAGAATCAATAACTTACGTAAATTAATCAGTAATTTAAATTTATTATTTTGCAGTAAATTAGATAATAAGATATCTGCATTATATATGAATAGTGTAATTACAATTTTACAAAAAGTAAAAAAATTGCTAAATATTAATATAATATTATTAAATTGTTTTAATCGTGAGAAACATTAATTCGATATATTATTAACTTATAATATTCTATAGAATAATATACGTATATGTATATTCCATAGACGCACTTGTACCTTGTACAGACTCGTATTTCAAAATTTGTTGTACTTACAGTCATTAACCTAACCTAAACTTTTATTCAAATAGTAATAAACAATATCTTTATGCTGTTTGAATAATTTAGTAAATATCAAATACTTTATACAATTACTTTATCGAACAATTTACTTTAGTTTTTCAAAAAACACTTGTAATATAAATTTTTTAACGAAATTATGTTGTTACATTATAAGTTTTGTGTTACTTAAATCGAAATAGTTTGTGTATTTGAGAATTATATTTATAGGTTTATATAAATAATGTTCTACTAATATTTCTAACACTCACATTCTATTACAAATATATTTATAAGAATTAAATTTATAGAAATAATATAGATTTTTATATGCGTCTGTATTGGAAAACAATAATTCACAACATATACAAAATTAAACCAAATATATTTATATATTAAAACTACAAGACAAATAAATAAACTGTAATAAATATTCTAAATTATGTAATTGTTGTACACATATATATTTCCCATCTCTCTTTTATAACTGTTATACCTCACCCAATAATAGTTTTGACCAATTCATGCAATTTATATATTTAAAAAAATAAAATATAAATCTTTTTTTAAGTTTTATATTCCTTAGAACTCGAATAATACTACTAGACAATTTTTTTGCAAAGAAATGCAAAACTCAAGTAATAATGAGATTTTTTATTATTTATTCCTATAGAAAAGTTGCTAAAAACTTGTCTCTAAATATAGAGTATCTCAAAAACCTACTTAGACTTATATTTTATATATGTATAAGACAAATTCTTTAGAACATTTCAAGACAAAGATCTAATGTAAAAATAATAAAGCTATAATAACTTTTAAATGAGTGATTAAATATCTATTATAGATTTATTATTTTTATAATAGAATTCTCTAGTTTTTAATGTTTCACAGTACCTATTTAAAGATTTCAATAGTTTTAAAACATTCTATGTGTGTATGTGTATATGTCAACTGTGTTAACGTGATTTTTTTTATGCATAGTGCTTAGAAATACTTATGCACTAAGTATTTGCAAACAATAAATATAAAAATAATTGATATTCTTATGATATATAAATATTCAAATTGAAACGTATACAGACTGTAAACATAAAATACATTGGCTGTGATAACACCATTCCACAGAAAATAAAATCACAAACTAATAAATCTCTACAGCAGCACTACATCGAGTCTTGTAAGAGGTATAAAAGTGCGTCACCTGAACAGATTTTCTTAGAGTGGCGAGTGGTGGGCCAGTGAACTGAGTATTCAGCCTACTTACGGCTGGTACTGAAGCTATGCGATAAGTTGTGCCTGGAGTTGGAGCAGCAGCAACAACTGCGTTTCCAGTTATACTATTTGGAGTAACTGCAGTACCAGCAGGAGTACCCGCAGTAGGAGCTGGACCAACTCTGAGCAACTGAAATTGGCCATTTTCGGTTTTTAACAATAGGTGACCTTGAGTACCAGGTTGAAGACTGTGAAGTGCCTGTAACGTTATCTGAAAATTGAAAAAAAAACATTACTATTGTTATATGTTATATCTGATATTATATATTATATATATTATTATACATTGTATTTATTTATTATATTAATTAATGTTTTTTATAATTATAAGTGCACAATCTGTTATAATCGTTGTATATACATGTTATAAAGAACACAAAAATAATATGATATAAAAAAAAGCATTAATTTTATATATAATAAAAAATAAATTATTAAAATATTATGCAACTAAATAACATACAAAGCAATATGTATACACTTAACAAACTCTTATTACTTATAAATGTTAAACTTACCCCTGGAGTTCCTGGTCTTGCTTGGACCAATTGATGTTGTCCAATTACAACTCTCGATGTAACTTGTTTATTAGCTTGCTGTCCTGCCACTGGTGTGGCTGGACGCATTGTATTTACATTGAGAATTTGAACATTACTGGGTACTAATGCAGAAGTAACTCCAGCTTTGGCTTGTAAAGCTGTACTGACTGCATTTCCAGCTATAGAAACTGGAACTGTCATTGGAACAGAAACCATCCCACCTGGTGCTACACTGGTCTTGATCACTAGAGCTGTCGGTTTGTTCACCGTAGTCACTGTTTGACTGCCTGTTTGACTGACAGAACCAACATTGGTAACAACATTTGACGTAGTCTGCAGCACAGCCTGTGAAGTTATACCTAAGGTACCATTTGCCAACTGACTAACAGTCTGAGTGGGAAAAGAAATTTTGTTATTGGCATTTGCTACTCCAGTAGTAGCTATAACTTGCCCAACTGTAGGATAGATAATCTTCACTGGCTCCTGTGTCTTTGTTAAACTTGATATATTTGTAGTTTGATTATTAGACACCTGATGAGTGGTCACTTGATTGATATAGGTAGCAGGAGATATTCCTGGCGGTTGTGTATGTTGTTGCTGCAGTTGTTGCTGCTGTTGTGTGGTAATAACCTGTGTCACTGGCACCACTGTATTTGAAGTAACCACATTTACTGGTAGCAGAGTGCTGGTGGTAATAGACTTGGTGACCTCCTGAGTCATCAGACTGTTCACAGTAGTCGCACCGCCGCCGTTCGAAACCCCATGTTTCTGCGGTTGCACCGCGGCGATGGTGCCCCCGTTGGATATAGCGCTATTCACCTGATGATTCTGCTGGCCGACCGACGCGGAACTCACTTGATGGCCTGCCACGGTTGGCGTGGACGTTACGAGCTGTGTCTCCAGAGAGCCTACTATCGCGTTCACTGCGGATTCGTCGACATCCGTGCTCAGAGCTTCCTCCAGAAACTTAGCTGACGCCATTTTCTTCCAATTTTCAACTGTAAACTCATCTGCGCATGCGTTCGTCGTACTTTCTCATCGAGCATTGCCTTATCCCCACCCCTGCTAGCAGCACGGCGGAAAATTGCACGCGGAGAATAATCCACTGTTTATTGTCGGGCGGTATACCCGCCAATCGCATTTCGTCATTATTCTATGGATACCGGACTGGCCTCGCGTATTCTTAATAAATCGCGTATATTCGCGGCCGCGCACTTCTTACAACGACAGGCCGCACGAGGCCGCCGCGCACACCGTGTGTGCTATGGCTGTCCCAAGTACGCACGCAACACGTCACCCGCCAAAATGGCTATCTTCGAAAATGCACTCGACACGATTTTATTCGGATAATATTTACCAATGCGGATCCATCTACAAGTGCACCAAACAAAAATTTTAATACGAGTTTAATAAACAGTTTTCCGTGCGAAAGATCGATTTGATCACACTTCCTGTGTCTGAGATAGACCGTGCTAACTCCGTCAAGAGCGATCGTTCTCGGCGTTCCTTCGTTCGATCGTTACGATCTAAGATACCGATTCGCTGTTATGACACCTGACATATATTCACGAGGTGATATCTCGCAGAATGTAACGCGTAATCTCAATTCAGCTAATTTGTTTTTCCAAAAATACCAAGTATCAGCCGAAGATCTTACTTGCCGCGTGATTTTTTTACCGCGCTGCGAGCGTGCCTCTCACACTCTGGTCTACCACGCTTCTGCACGCTTCCGTACGGTTCCATCAGACCATATATATATATCAACGCACGCACACACATGCAGATCGTACATTTTTACAAGCATGGAATAAGAAATTACTGTAGAGAGCGAAATACATGTGGTTCGTGCGAGCCAACGCTCGCGACGGAAATTGGTTGCGTTCAGAAAACTCAACAGTTGCGCAACGGTTCAGAGATGATCGCTTGTGATAGGACTATTCCTCAAAATCTAATTCAGTTTGAAAACTATGATCCAATCATAAGCAATCATCTCACAAACCGTTGTGAAACTGATGAGTTTCCGAACGTAACCACTGCCTGTTAAGAAGTAAAATAGTGAACAGTGAACGCTTTTCTGAAATTATGGCAAACAAATTATAAAAATAATTATTATGGAAAAGTGATTCTTCTAAGGCTGCGTTCGGGGAGCGCGCTATCAGCAATGTTGCATCATTCCATCTTTGTTGCTCATTAGATGTAAAACGCAGCCTTAAGCCTCTTGCACAATGCGAGGGAATAGCGATAGCGATAGAAACAACATCAGTTTTAAAGCCCCTTGCACAATGGAAGGAATAGCGATAGCGATAGAAATAACAAAAGTTTTTAACACAGAATTCCAACTCGTCGGAAATTTTATCGCTATTGCTTATTCCGATTTTCTGATCTGCATTGATACATGTGTAGTTTTGTATGTTAGATTCCGCTGTTCCCCTACCTTTATTTTTAAATATAAACTCTTAAAAACTTTTGTTATTTCTATCGCTATCGCTATTCCGTCCATTGTGCAAGAGGCTTTAGGCTGCGTTCGAGGAACGCGCTATCAGCGCTGTTGCATCATTCTATCTTTATTGCTCATTAGATGTAAAAGATAGAATGACGCAATAGCGCTGATAGCTTAGACCATATATACTTATAGACACGGCCTGTAGATATGAATCCACGAGTCGAGGTGAAGCAAAGATAATATCATCTACGTGACGTCACATGTGGGCATTTCAGCAATGGCTAAATACGGCCTCGTAGATGATATTGGGTGCGTTCAGACAACTCAACGGTTGAGAGATCATCACTTATGATAGGACTATTCTTCAAAATCTGCAACGGTTCCAAAAGTATGATCCAATCAGAAGTGATTATCTCTCAACCGTTGTGCAACTGTTGAGTTGTCTGAACGCACTCATTATCTTATCTTGAAGGCAGTTATCTGAAGCCGTCCATAAACGCGCCTTTGCTTTGCCCACATGTGACGTCATGTAGATAATATTATCTTTGCTTCAAGATAGTTGTCTGAAGCCGTGTCTATAAGTATATATGGTCTAAGGCTGATAGCGTGCTCCCCAAACGCAGTCTAAAGCCTCTTGCACAATGCGAGGGAATAGCGATAGCGATAAGCAATAGACAAAGAATTCCAAATCGTCGAAAAATTTATCGCTATTGCTTATTCCGTTTTCTGATCTGCATTGATACATGTGTATTTTTGTATGTTAGATTCCGCTGTTCCTACCGTTATTTATGAATATAAACTCTTTAAAATTAGTGTTTCTATCGCTATCGCTATTCCGTCCATTGTGCAAGGGGCTTAAGATATAAAGTTTGTTCGCGTCGCATGCCCCGACATGCTTCTACTCGCCCCAACGCGCTCTAAGGCTAATATTACATTTGTCGTACGACAAAGATTTTAAGTATGTTGATTGGCTATCAGATAGAGTTTTATAAAGAACTGTATTTGATAGCCAATCAATGTACTCTTAAAATCTTTGTCGTGTACGACAAATGTAATACTAGCCTAACAGCGAATTCGGTATCCTGCATTAGTGCGCAACTTTTTTTATTGAAAAAATTTATTAAACAAGTTTTGAAGTTTCATTGAAAAAAAGCGCGTTGAAGCATGTTGGGGCATGCGACGCAAACAAACCTATAATTTTATATTAAAGCAACTTTGCATTGAAAACTTGATCGGAGTAATACCAATCATCGTTATGATTGCTATCTGACGAGTAAGAAATGATCGATTGTGATTGGTTGCTTTGCTCTCTACATAAATAACATCATTACACTTTGTGTATAGCTTTGATTAGAGAGAAGCCTGAGAACGGCTATCTCTTTATACGTTCAGATTAATTAATTAATAAACTAAAAATCTCTTATATATTTTTCATTATGTATTAATTATGGACTGCTAGTTGGTATTTTCATGCTATAATCAGAGAAAAAAAAGGCCTGGTCCATAAGAAACTGTGTAATTACTTTTCCGTCCCGTAAACTAGCGCATGTCCACGGGTGGTGCACATTGGAACTACGCAGCCATGTCCACGAGCGACTTGTCGGTACGTACGCTATGTCCAAACGTGGACATGGTTTTATTTTGTGCTACGTCCACGACCGTGCAGTTCTATTCCGTGCTGTGCGCACAAGTCCAAGGCTGCGTTCGGGGAGCGCGCTATCAGCGCTGTTGCATTATTCTATCTTTATTACTCATTAGATATAAAACAAAGATAAAATGACGCAATAGCGCTGATAGTGTGCTCCCCGAACGCAGCCCAAGTGTCGAGTTGAGAAATATCGAGCAGCCCGGCCAGTACCGAGAACATCGAGGTGATAAGGATACGTACACAAGCGAGAACCGCCGTCTGTGTACGCTCACGGAAGAGTGCAGACATACTGTGTCTGTTCTTTTTACCTGAACTGGCTGCACTAGTTCAGAGTTTATCTTTTTCACTCGACATTGGAAAAAGAAAGATAAACTCTAAACTAGTGTAGCCAGTTCAGGTAAAAAGAACAGACCTACTATGTTCCGTTTCCTTTACACCAAACTGTAAGGCGAGACACGAGGCACGTTTACGTTGCGCGTTTGTTGCGTATGACAACGTGAAATGCTTTCTCAAGATTTCCAGTCTTGGAAAAAGTATACATAATATTAGTGATAATATTAACTCTTCTCTCTGATAGTACACTCCAAAGGACCCTCTTAAAGCCCGTTCTACATTAAGCGCAAGATACAAACGCAATTAGCAGGTTTCGTGGAATTGACCAATCACGTTGGTCAATTGGCTGATTTAATCAATGCGATTAGTCAATTCCATTCGAGATCAACTTGCGTTTGCGTCTTGCGCTTAATAGAACAGGCTTAATTGCTGTATTTCGTTGGGTAATGTCGTGAAATTATCTCTCATTGCTCTGTAGATAATTAATTGGTTTGTTTGAACCGAGTGATGGTAAAGTAGTAAACTATGTTTTTTTTTACCAATACGGATGGAATCGTATTCTCGAAATGATTAATGTCAACAAAATCATTTTTGTCTATTTTTTGCACGACATTCTAGCAAATTAGTATAAACAGAAAAAAGACTGAGAGCGGCCATTCTATTGTAGTTTTTTACGACGGTTTCAGCCGCTGATTTTAACGTTATATCCACAAAAGTAGGATCTTAAAGACCGTTCTACATTAAACGCACGACGCAGGTCTTGTGGAATTGATCAATCACGTTGGTCAATTGGCTGATTTGACTGTGTGAGTAATCAATTCCATAAGACTTGCTTTTAACGTAGAACGGCCTTTGAGATCCACTTTTGTGATTGGATATAGCGCTAAAACCAGCGGCTAAACTCGTCGTAAGAAACTACAATAGGATGGCCGCTCTCAGTCTTCTCTCTGGTACTATATATATCGTGACTTACTGTTAGCGATACAAGTAACATCAACTATAAAGCGTCGTTAGAGAAACAAGGACATACATATGTAAAAAGAGATTATATTAGATTTAAATGTATTATAGATTGTGTATTGTAGGGTTCCAAATCATAGTCTAATAGTCTTATTACATTCTTCAATGTCTATCTTGGATACTTTTTGGTTTTTTTATAAATACCTCTCTTGAACTTCAAATAACAGTACACTAAAAGTAGAGTGAATTGTTAACTTCAACAATTTTTGTTAAGTTTTCGATATATTGAAAAGTATCTAAGATTAATTTCATTATTTTTTTTTATTCTGTAGAGCCGTTTTTCTCCGAGCAATAAATACAAAATGCAATCTAAAATACGAATTACTAGTTCGATCGGTATAACAGGAAAGTCCAGGACCCTCTTAACTTTTTTCAAAAGATACTAGGGAAAAGTAAGGAGAAAAACGTAGTACATGTTCTATTAAATTTGCTTGTGAACTGTTATATTCCTAATTCCTTAACACTGTTACATTTATGTTTACGTTTATGTTTAAATTATGTTTATCGTACGTATTTATGAACGATTTGTGGACTATTTTGACGTAAAAGAATTTTTAGAATTCACTATATATTTCTCAAAAAAAAGTCAGCTTTTTATATCTCAAATTGTAGAAATAAATTCTGAAACTAAATGAAAATTAAGATGTTAGACGCGTTTTAATTTAGAAAAAAATGAGAAATCTCATATTACAGAATTTACATAGAAAACTTTTGAAACTTCTTGTGCATAGATTTCTTTATTTAAATTAAATTTATTTAACAATCAATATTAAATTGAAGATCTTCCTCGGGCTCATGAAGTTTATTAAACTTAATAAATGAATAAATAAGTCTTAAAGAGCCGTTCGCGCAGGATGTTGTGCGGAAAATATGTCTTATATGTGTATACACACATATAAATTTATTTATTTTGAAAATTTTTGAAAAATGTTTCAATTCATATGAAACAATTGTAAAAAATGTATAGAAATTATTAGATATAGACTTTTTTTTATTAATTGAATTAGTATGAGATAATCAACTCGCATAGAACTCCATTAGACGTCTATTAGACGTCAGTAGCTCCATGCAATATTTAATAAATGTCTAATAAGAATTTTGTTCTTGTGTGAAAAAATAATATCCGATTAATTATCCCTATAAATTTGTTTTTATATACTAGAAAAATTGGAAGAGATAAAAGAAAAAATAAAGAGAGAGAGAGAGAGAGAGAGAAATATATGTTGCTGTTTTAAACAATAAAAGATGGTGCTTATTTTTAATGAA